GCTGTGTAGTTCAAACTGGCCTTGAACTCACTAGGCAGTCAGGCTGACCTCGAACTCCTGGTCAACCTTCTGCCTCAGCCTCCCAAGTGCTGGGATTACAGGTCTGCACCACCTCGCCTGGTCCCTGGTGGCCTTTGAAAAAAGGCAACACATGAAGTGTGTGATAGGGAGAGGAACTTCTTGCTCGGAAGCTGGACTCCTTATGGTACACACAGAGATACATTATCTGCTGAGTGTTAGATCCACACGTGCGTGGCATGACGCAGTGACACGAACACAGAACACCACCATCCGTGTTTGCAGCGAGGGAAGCACACACGCTCTGTGCGTATACAAACAGGCGGGTATTTCTGGAACGACACAGAAGGACGGCTATTATGCAACGGCTATTTCTGCAGAGACACGCAGTAAATCCGCAGAGGCAGGAGGGAAGATGTACCGGCAACTGGGACCCCGGGGAGAGGGGACTTCACGGCCCTCGCTTAACCGAGCGCGTATCTGACAAACTATTTATAATCTGCACGCAGTCTCCCAATGACAGATGAACGCAGTAGCCACCCCCAGCCACAGTTTGGCCTTCTGAGGTTTCGGGTACCCGTGGTTAACTATAGTCTGAGAATACTAAGTGGAAAATTCCAGATATCAGCAATGCGTATGCTTTATTTTGGTTTGGTTTTGGCTTTGGCTTTTTGAGATAAAGTCTCCCTATGGAGCCCAGGCTGGCCTTGAACTGGAGGCGATCCTCCTGCCTCAGCCTCCTCAGTGCTGGGACCGCGGTGTGCACCACCACGCCTGGCTCATAAGGGATTGATTGATTGATTGATTGTCTTTTTGTGACAGGGTCTCGCTATGTATGCAGTGGTCTGGCCTTGAGCTCACTTTGTAGCCTAGACTAGTGTGGAACTCAGAATGGCCCTCCTGCCTCAGCCTCCTGAGTGCTGGGATTACAGGCCTGCACCACCATGCCCGGCTCTTGGTTCATAAGTTTTTTGGGTTTTGTTTTTTTTCCAGTACCGGGAATTGAACTCACGACCTCGCACTTGCCAGGCAGGCGTGCTGCTGAGCTAAATCCCCAGCCCCCTGGTTCATAAATTTTAACTGTTCCCTGAGTGGGGTCGGGGTCTCACGGCTGGTCTGGGAAGCCAGGGTCCCTTTCCCGCCTGTCCCTGCCATGTGCTGTACGTGTTGCTCCCCTGAGTCCCCAGGTCCCCAGCCACAGCCTCCGTGATCAGATTCCTGGTCTTGTGGTCTGGAAACATTATGTAGCTTCATCAAGGCTCAAGGCGCGAGAGTGACACCGCAGACTGGGAGTGCAAGGACCAGCCTGGAAACACTCCCCTCTGTCTGACGTATTCCTGCGTGCGGGTTATACATGTTACTGTGCTTCAGAATGGCAGAGTTGTACGTGCACAGAACATACTTAAATCATTGCTACTACTTTCACATCTTGGGAGGGTTTTCTTTGGTGGGGGGATCGAACCCAGGGCCTTGCGCAAGCAGGGCAAGGGCTCCACCACTGAGCCACATCCTCAGCCTCTTTTCTTTTTTGAGACAGTCTCACCATGTAGCCCAAGCTGGCTTCAGACTCGCGGCCACCCTCCTGCCTCAGCCTCCCGAGCGCTGGGATGACAGGCGTGCACCACCACGCCCAGCTCAGGAGATTCAGTGGGTGTCATGTATCTGATCATCTATGTCCCCGTTACCCTTTACACCCCTCTCCTCCCTCGTCGAGTAATAAGCTCCTCTCTACTTCCTGTTGTCTTTTTAGGGTCCACACATCAGGGAGAGCAGTGACACACTATCCTTCTGGGTCTGGCAGATGGTGCTAAGCGTGACGATCTCCAGTCCCGTCCACTTTCTTGCAAATCACAATACTCATTAATTGTATGGTGAATAATACTCCACTGTGTATAGTATACGTTGTAGCACTTTTTTGTGTTTTTTTTTGCAGTACGGAGGATCGAACTTACGACCTTGCACTTGCCAGGCAGGCGCTTATGCCACTGAGCTACATCCCCAGCCCGTAGCACATTTTCTTTAGATTCATCTGTTGGTGGTCAGTGGCTGGGCCCACGTCTTGGCCATATGATATACTGTGTGTCATTAACGTGGGTATGTGGTCTCTGCACAGTGCGCTGACTTTTTTTTTTTTTTGAGACAGAGCCTCAAACTCAGAGATCCTCCTGCCTCAGCCTTCTGAGTGCTGGGATTGGGCTAGAAAGGAGATCAGCGCCACAAGCACCTATTTGGCAAGCGCAAGGTCCTAAGTTTGATTCCTGGTACAAAAAAAAAAAAAGATTGATTAACCCAGTGCTGGGATTACAGGGGTGCACTATCACAGCCAGCCCCAGCTGGGAGTTTTGTTTTGGTACTGAGGATGAAGCTCAGGGCCTCGTACATGCTAGGCGAGTGCTCTACCACTGAGCTACAGCCCCAGCCCCGACCGCGAGTTTTTCACGGAAACATACACGTGTTTTGCTCAGCCCTGTGTCCCTGACCCTGAAGGATCCATTTGGCGGACACCAGTGAGATGCTCCGCAGAGAGCTTCTGAAAACCCCCTCGGGCCATTGAGGGCGGCGGTCAGAGTCCAGACACAACAGACAGACCTCAGAAAACAGTTTATTCTGCTGCAGGCAGGGGAGGAAGCACCACTTGAAGAAGCTGCTTTTGTAGGGGAACTTGCAGAATCTGGCACAGGTCCAGAGGAGCGCTGGGGTGACGGGTGGAGGAGGGCGCCCGTGGGAGATGGGGAAAAGCCCACCTCCTTGGGAAAACTGAACCGCAGACAGGCGCGATCTCCGTTCCAAGGCTCAGGACACCATCCGTGCAACTTCGGACTGCAGCTTCGACTCACAGATGATCTCAGAGGTGAAATCAACCCAGCATGGCCCCTGGCCTGGCATCCACATCGCTGTATCAGGGGGAGCAGAAGGAAACCCTTTGCCTTCCTGTGGGCCCTGGAAGTGGGCTAAATGGTGGCCTCAAAGATATGTCCATGGGGCTGGGGATTTAGCTCAGCGGCACAGCACCTGCCTGGCAAGCACGAGGTCATGAGTTCAATTCCTGGTACTGGAAAAAATACCAAAAA